AAATTTCCTAGGTGCTGTGGTCTTGGTCTCTTGTCCTATTTTGGAGAAAATAGACATTCAGGGATTCTAGGCTATTTCAGGGTTTTAGGTTGATCTTAATCCAAGCTCCAATTCCAGGACCATATTATTGGGCTGGAGGAAGAAATAGTAAGTTTTTTTTTTTTTTTTTTTTTTTTTTTTTTTTTTTTTTTTTAATGGGGGAATAATCAGACTTGGCATCACTTGTTAAAGCTTTCATCCTGATGAATTCTGAGAAATCAGGGCAAACGGTGGTAAAGGTATAGAATATGGAGGTCCCACGCCAAGAAAAAGATGCATTCCATTTACTCAATGGGTACTAAAGAGACCTGTGGTACTTTGGTATTGGGGACTAATTTCCCTGTGAGCTGCAAATCTTTGGGGACATACAGTTAATTTTGTTTATCTGCAGTAAATTGTTTAATGGTATAATTGCAAAATGCTTTACAATACCTTTAGTTTCTCTTAAGAACTGACAGTTTTTACTGAAAACATAAAACAATTTAACACTTTATGAAAGGGAGTGAGCACAGTGGAGTGTACTACCTGTTCCCCTGAACGACTGAGAGTAAGTTGGTGACCTTATAGTCCCACCCTCTAAGACTTGCTAGGCAGGTCCTACAAACACGACATTCTCCTACATAAGCCCAGTACACTGTGGAGTTAGGGTATCACCATTAATATGTCACTTTATAAAATTTGCAAGTCTATTTCAAGTTTTGATAATTGTCCTAATAATGTCTTTAGTTACAAAATGATCTAGTCAAATTTTCATGTTGCTTTTATCAGCTGATGTCTCTTTAATTTTCTCGAGTCTTTCCTTGTGTTTCATGACATCCTCCCCTTTGGAGATTACACACCTGTTGCTTTGTAGAATCTGTCAGGTTGGGTTTGGTTGACTTTTCTCCCTGATAAAATAATGCTAATGCCATTTGGCAGGAATATCCAGAAGTGATGCTGCATACCATGATCGGTGCATGATTTCAATGTGTCCCATAACTGATGACGTTCATAATGATTCCTTGGTAGAAAGTGGTATTTGGCAAACCTCTAATCCACACATTTACCCTTTTTCTATTTGAAATTAGTAAGGTTGGTGAAGTCATTTGGTATGTTATGAATACCCCCTTTCTAATTTATATATGGAATCATGAATTGATATCTTCTTCAAAAGGTTTTAGCATTTCTAGGGTTTGAGTGTGTCACTCAAGTGTCATATGTTACAAGCTTCATCCCTGATGTGACAGTGTGATGAGATAGGACCTTAAACAGGTGATTAGGTCGTGAAGGCTCTGTTCTCACAAATGCATTAATGCCATTATTCTGAGAGTAAGTTTGTTACCAAAGTGAGTTCCTCCCTCTCTTTTTTTCTCCACCTTCTCTCGCTCTCTTGTCTTTCTCCATGGTATGAGACATCAAGAAGGCCTTTGCCAGATGCTGGCACCTTAACATTGGACTTGTATCCTCCAAAACAGTATAACATAAATATATTTGCTTATTAATTATCCAATATCATGTATTTTGTTATTAGTTATCTGTACATAAATAACTAAGAGGAAAAATTGGTTTTGAAAAGTGGGACTATTTCTATAATACATATCTGTAGATTTGGAATGACTCTGACACAAGGTAATAAATAAGTAGAGGCTGGAAGAATTCAGACAAGCAACTTAGCAAAAGGCTGGAATGGAGCATTAAAGGCAACTATGCTGAGAGCTTAGAAGAGAGAAAATGGTGGGAAAGCCTTGAACTTCTTAAAGATTACTTAGGTGGTCATGATCAGAATGTTAGTAGAACTGTTTAGGATAAAGACATTTCTGAAAAGACCTCAGATGGAACTTAAGATAAAAGTATATTAAGATGGTGTACAGGCCATCGTTGCTATACAGATTCAAAGAACTTGGCAGAATTATATCCATGTTCCAGGACTTTATGACAGACAGAATATAAGCATGATAAACTAGGCTATCGAGAAGAAGAAATATCTGAGTATCAAAGTGTTCATTGTGCCACATGGATTCTTGGACTAGTTACAGTAAAATGAGAGAGAAGGTACTTTAAAGATGGAATTTATAATTAAAATAAAAGCAGAAAGGAAAGATCTGAAAAACTCTCAGCCTGGTGATAAAGAAAAATAAAAATCATGTTCAGGAGAGAATATTAAAGGTATGACTCTGCAACATTTGCTAAAGAGATTAACACAGATAAAAGAAAACCAGATTATTACTACTGTGGGGAATGCACCCCAAATTATTCCAGAAATTTCCAAGGCAAGTTAGACCTTGAAGGAAAGGCTTCTAGATAAGGTCCATGGGTCTTACTATTCTGTGCCACCTTGGCATTTGCTCCCCTACTTCCAATGTAACAGCCTTGGCAGCTCCAGCCATGGCTCAAGTGGGCCCAGGTGCAGCATGATACATTGCCCTGGGATGCAACAGGTGTAAACCTTGGCAACACCTATGTGTGCTAACCTTGTATGTGTGCAGAATACAAGAGCTATGGGAACATGGAGCGCTCCACCTAGAATGCAAAATATATCTCTGACATCCTGAGGACCCAGACAGAATTGTCTCAGTGAGGACCCACTACAGAGTCCCCCCTAAGACAAAGCCCAGTCAAACTGTTGGAGGAGGGCAGCCTCTGAGACCACAGAGCCATAGGGCCACCAGCATGCAGCTCCTGCCTAGAGGATGCAGCCAGAAGACTCCAAACAATGAGAGCTGCTTGATGGACTGAGCCCAGTAAAGCCATAGGAGGGGGTTTCCTGAGGTCTTCAGGACCAAATACTACCCCAGATTGTCCAAGATAAGTTATATGGAGTTAAAGGAAATTATTATCCATTTTTAAGACTTACCAATGTTTTCCCTTTTGGGTTTTAGATTTACTTTGGATGAGTTATGCCTTTCTCTTTACCTGTTTCTCCCTTTGGAAGAGGAATGTCTACCCTAAGTCTGCCTAATCATTGTTCAATCATTCCTCAGTATCTGTGAGGGATTGGTTCCAGGATTCTTCTTCAATACCATGACCCTTCAAGTCCCATAATCAACCCTACAGAATAGGTGGATACAAAGTCAGCCTTCCATATTGGAGGTCCCCCTTACATCCTACAAATGGTTTATTTTAGATCTGTGGTTGGTTAAATTGACTGATGCAGCAAGAAGGGTCGTGCAAGATGCCTGCGTGTGATATTGGAGTTCCCAGCCACAAGAACTGTGGA